AGAACCTCATCTAAATAATAATTACGAATAACGATCGACTTTGTTGCGATCCTCGAACCTTTTATATCTCACTCATTCGCTTTCGTTGCTAACTTATACACAATATAGAAGGAATTTTTATATTGAAGAAGTAGCAAAGTCGAACGAAAATTCACGGGTTAGTCTCCAAGAATTAATAATGAATATTATTATCTTCAAGCTTGGTTCGATGAATCTCTATGAGTCTGTTGGATCACTTTATCTTTATCTGTTTCTCGCTATTGGCGGTGGTTATGGTGTGTTCAAATCGATGGGACTTGATCGACTTTGTCGCGATCGTTCAAATCTGACTTCGAACGAGCTCCCTCGTTGGAGCGACGCGATTTTCTTTCATTAACGTTCGATGAAGAGGTAAAACAATCGTTTTACATGATTAATTCGTTTCGCGTTGGCATTCAGAGAAACAGACTTTTCAATTGTTCGTGATTAATCCACACGATGGAGCAGCTGCAAGAAACAACGCTTGTATTTTCAGGAACTAGAAGAACATTTACCTTTAAGAGTAGCTGCTAGTGATCAGACCATTTGCGGTTTTGCGATGAGATGATCTCCTGCTTCGTTTAATCGGGAGTATATGATGGTATCACAAGTAGATCAATAGACCATAAATGGTACATTAGTTTACGATAAACGGCAAATGGTCGACAGATGCGCTAGATAGAATCTAATACTGCATGAGTATTTATAATTAATGCGATTAACAGATAGTTGCTTGCTGCCGCGAGCCGAAGGTAACTGCGGCGAGAAGCAATCTCGATGGTACTTTGATCAGTCGGAGAATCGGTGCATGCCATTCTATTATACCGGTTGCGATGGGAATAAAAATAATTTCGAATCTAGGGACGCATGCGAGTCTGATTGCCCGGCTAAAATTGGTAAGACTTCCCTCTTCTCTTCTCTTCTCGTCTTCGTTAACGTAACTTGCTTCTGGCTTAACCTTAACTTGTTGCCGCTTCTGTCGTTGAATCGTTTCGTTGTATCGTTTCACTTCCTGTGTTTCTGATTGTTTACGCCGCGTGCACGCAGATATTGCGTTACGAGTTACATGTCGAATGCGCAAGAACAAATATACTCTTAGTGTGCGTCTATCACGCAAATGTACTTGCAACAATTTTGTCTACGTTGTGCGTGTTGCTTTATTTGTTGAAAAACGCGAGGTGAAAAGAGTTCTGTGAATCTCGAAAAGGAAGAAAAAAAAAACGTAGAATATTATCTCTACGAGTTAGTTTGGTAAAATGGCAAAAAAAGTTTTTTAAACACACAGAAATTATATTTCAGCTTATACTTGTATGCTTGTTGCCAACAATTTCTGTCTTATACGTTTATCACATTTATTTAATAGCGTGAAAATTTGTACGGAACTTGATACGCGTGTCAAGATTCAAAGTAATATCTTTCATTGATTTTCGTGGATTTCACGGAACTTTTTACTTCTCCGTGATCCAGATCCCGTTTGGAACAGGGATACGTTGTTATTACTATCTTCGTTTAAATACAGAGCAAGATACCTGTCTCTTGCCCGCGCTTTTGGGAGAATGCCACAACTATACCCAACGATGGTACTACGACTCGTACGAGCAACAATGCAGACAATTCTACTACGGTGGCTGCGGTGGCAACGAGAATAATTTCATTACCGAACAGGATTGTGTTAACAGATGCCAAACTACTATCACAACCCCCGCACCATCGAGAGAAGTCGAATTTAGACCTGGTATAACACTTTTGAATTGATAATTCAAACAATAACATGTATATCATCATGTTTATTATTTTTATAAAATTTTTCCTTGTTTTCTGTAACGCACGTACAATTCACGAATGAAAAACTCTTATTACGGATCTAAGTTTACGTGAAACTTTTTTGCAGACTTCTGCTTCCTTCCGGACGAGCACGGCCCATGTTCGGAGGAACACGTCAAATGGTTCTACGACAGCAGAGAGGGTGTCTGCAAACAATTCAGATATGGCGGCTGTCAGAGCAATGGGAACAATTTCAACAGTCGCGAAGAATGCGATTATCGATGCGGAGACGTACAAGGTTTGCAACATTGCGCGCATTCTCTCACAGGATTGAGGATAAATAAATCTTCTTGCACTAGAATAACAAGTTTGATAATAAAATTTACAGACCTCTAGATCATTCAACTTCCAGATTGTGAGAAATGATTCTCTAATCTCGAACGATTGTAAAACTGTTGTAAAAATTTTTTTTATTATTATTAATTTATATCGTTAGAGTCTAATAATTAATTACTACGCTGGAATCGAATAGATTTCATCACTCTAACTTCAACTATCTCCTATTCTGCAATTTATCGTTGTGCGTCATGAATTTGTCTATTAATTAACAATTCAGGGCAACCACACCAATAATGATTTGATAAGAAATCTTCGATAACAAGCCTTCATGCTTCCCTCTTTATTTCTATCTACCTTCAGATCCGTGCACTCTGCCCAAAGTTATCGGTCCCTGCAACGGTTTCGTGAGGCAATATTACTACGATCATCAGTCAGATTCCTGCTACGAATTCGAGTACAGCGGCTGCCAGGGCAACAAGAATCGCTTCCAGGATAAAGAATCCTGCGAGAGCAAGTGCCAGAGACGTAGCCGAACAGAAGTAACCGCGCACGTCACGTCTGCTCCGGTGGAAACTAGCTCGAAAAATCCGATCTGTTACACGACTGTGGATCCTGGATCTTGCAACGGCGATATCACCGCCTTTTACTACGACACACGCAATCAGATGTGCCAGGCGTTCATCTATGGCGGCTGCGAAGGAAACGCGAATAGATTCCAAACGGAGGAACAGTGCGAACGTCTCTGCGGAAGATTCCATGGACAAGGTAACACTAGAATTACCAAAATGACCATTCGAATACTTTTAGATATTTTAGACATTATATTTATTAGATATAAAAATATACAGTGTATTTTTTAGAGACTTGAATGATTCTTCGTCGAATAAAAGCTTGTGTACCCTGTTGTATTACTTACTAACGTCTCTGATGGGCATTTTATACCTTGGTCGTCGGTAGTTCTAGTGCTAATATTTAAACACCACGGTGTTTGAAAGATTATTGATCTATATAGAGTCACAAAATATGTGGAGTCACGAAGGATTTTTTAAACTAGTGCTTCAAGCTGAAAATTGCTTTGACAGTTTTAGAGATTTCCATTTCTTTCTTTCTCTTTGCTATTTTATTTTAGAATATTTAGTAAGCAAATATCCTAAAATTCACTGACATTTGAACGAATTTTATCGTTAGTATTAATTTCACTCGACAATTTTTATTTTAGAATTAATTTACAGAGTGTTTAATTTTAATATCGCTGTCCAGTTGATCGCGGATCGTTCGATTTTGGTGTTATTATCTGAGAAACATTTTTCGCAGACACTTGCAATCTATCGGTGGATCCTGGCGAGTGCAGAGGCTCTTTCCAAAAGTACTTCTACGACCCGGCCAGTCGCGTTTGCCGCGAATTTGTCTACGGCGGATGCGAGGGCAACGCGAACAGATTCAGCACGATGGCAGAGTGCGAATCGATTTGCATTCATCACGAGGAGCCCGTGCCATCTGGAAACGACACAAGCCTTTCCAGCCTGTGTATGTATCTTCGCTCATTTCGATTCACGAAGAATTTCATCCAGAACTTTCCTGTTCCTTGAAATTCATCATTTTTTTCAAGAATCTTTGAACGAAACGTGAAAAAAGAGGTTTCGAGAGAACGTTGCTGGGAAAGAATTTTTATAATTTTTTAATTCATTCAGAACCAACTGATATCAAATTTTAATGTATTATTTTACCTCTTGGTCCTCGATGAATTAATGAATAAATCGAGAATTTCATTTTCCAAGAATCTTTGAACGAAAAAAGAGGTTTCGAAAGAACGTTGCTGGGAAAGAATTTTTATAATTTTTCAATTCATTCAGAACCAACTGATGTCGTCAAATTTTAATCGATTATTATTTCACCTTTTGGTCCTCGATCAATTAATGAATAAATCGAGAATTTCATTTCCCAAGAATCTTTGAACGAAAAGAGAGGTTTCGAAAGAACGTCGCTGGGAAAGAATTTTTATAATTTTTTAATTCATTCAGAACCAACTAATGTCGTCAAATTTTAATGTATTATTTCACCTCTTGGTCCTCGATGGATTAATGAATAAATCGAGAATTTCATTTTCCAAGAATCTTTGAACGAAAAGAGGGGTTTCGAAAGAACGTCACTCGGAAAGAATTTTTATAATTTTTTAATTCATTCAGAACCAACTGATGTCAAATTTTAATGTATTATTTCACCTCTTGGTCCTCGATGAATTAAACAAATCGAGAAGTTCTTTTCGAGGGAATGAAGTTAACTTGCGGCAGAAAATAATTTTGTACGATGGTGATCCAGCGATTTGTAAAGAGCCGGTCGACAGTGGATCGTGCACGTCCGGTTCTACTAAGCGATTCTACTTCGACGAAGAGCTGCAAACGTGTCGAGCGTTCATTTACACCGGATGCGGCGGGAATCGTAACCGATTCAAGACTTTCGAGTCTTGCATTAACACTTGTCTTAGCAGTAAGTCGAGAAAAACGTGCTCACCGACGATTCAAACAGTATTTTTCAGTTACACGTTCACAATATTATCAACTTCGAACACTTCAGGTGGACACATTTGCTGTTGTATATAGCTGTACATTATACTTTCGATGTTTCATATCGATGTTGTCTTCAATCCTCTTCCCTAACATCCTTTCTCTACTTGAAGACTGCAGGAGAAGATAACTCGCGTTTGTCATGTTTTTATGGAGAAATAGTTTTTGCGAAAATTATTTTATTTTATATTATTTTTTTAAAATTATTTTTAGAGTTTATTATTATCTGTTTTATATTATCTATTTTATTACGTATTTTTCCTAATACTAAGCATCACTTATGCTCTTCATCGCGTTATAAACATTTTTTTCTATTCTTACAATCAGCGTTATAATTTCTCCAAGATACAAATACCTGTGTCTTGTCTTTTCCTCGTGATTTTACAAGAAACACCACGCTTCTTATTTTTCCAGATTCTTTTTATTTCTCAATCGTTCATTCAATCAGCCCTGAGCTTTGAAATCCCGCTGGAAGCAACGGTGTAATATTGCTTTTATCGCAATGTGTTTTCTTTTTTCTGTTTTTTTTTTTTTTCTTGTCGTCACAGTTTTGTATATTTCTTTCACTTTGAAAAATATTTGCCTTTTAATTTAAACCTTGTATCTTTTAATAGCCACCAACGAGATCGACGTGGACTCCGGGAAGGATACGAAAGATCCTTGCACGGAAGCTCGCGAGGAATGCAACACCATTCGCTGCCCTTATGGCAAGGAGGCGTTCGTAGATTCTCAGGATTGCGAGCGGTGTCGTTGCGTGGACCCTTGCAGGACGCAGATTTGTCCCGACGACACGAAATGCGCCATCACACTGGTCGCCACCAAGGATGGAACCGAATACAAGGGAGTTTGCAGATCAGGTGAAAAATCTCTCTGTTCTATATTTAAAACAAAAAATTCTCTGCATTTTTCTGATATTTTAAAGAAGCAAGTGAAAAATATCTTCGTTGAGATTCGTATGAATAAAATATAAATAACGCACAGTATTAAGTACAAATAATTCCAAATATTCCCTTGCTCTGAGGTTATCAGTTTTCTATTTATTAGTCTTATTATTAGTCTTGGTACTTTCATGATACGTTTAAATATATATTTGCTTTAACTGCAATAAATTATTATATGAACTTAATTTGTCGATGGATTATTATGTAAATTCAATAATAAATGAATTGCTATTTTATGTTGATAAAAATTTATTACACGAACCGAATTTAATTAGTGAAATTATATTACATGAACGACACGATTTTCCATCCAGTTACGAAACCAGGCCGCTGTCCAAGCGTGTCGAACAGCACAAGATGCGAGCAGGAATGTCTGACAGACGCGGACTGCGCCGGAGAAATGAAATGTTGCAACAATGGCTGCGGTGCATCCTGCCTCGAACCAGCTGCGCAGGATGTTTCAACAACTTCTCCAAGATCGGTCACTGTACCACCGGTTGGAGCGGAACCAGCCTCGATCAAGCAACCGGAAGAGCCGAAGGTTAGCGCTCAGGAGGGTGGCTACGTAACATTGACGTGTGTAGCCGTAGGAAATCCAAAACCAAGCGTTACGTGGAGGAAGGGCACGACGCTGGTAAGAATTCTTTGCGTGCCACGATCTTTTACAGACTACTTACGAGATATATAATTTTGATTTCGAATCTCCCACTATTGGTTAAATAAATTATTCACTTCGATAATGAATTCTCGCGAACTCGAAGATTCGGAAATATCGTGCATTGAGTTTTGATAATAAAACGGTGATTGATGTCTGCAGATCGCTGCCTCAGAGAGCAGGCGTCGCATATTGCTGGACGGTTCACTTCAGATCATTAATTTAGACCGATACGACGGCGGGACTTACGTCTGCACAGCTGACAATGGCTTAGGGCCACCGGTAAGAGCGGAATACCAATTGGTGGTCACAGGTATGTACTTATAATTGAAGTAAACACTCTCTCGATGGTGTTTGGTGGATGTGTTCTGCATCATGAACCCAGTAGCTAGTCTAACGAATTCTCTCTTCTTTTGTTTGATAGAAAGTAGTGATAGAATGTTTTCGTTCTAGATGATTGTGAAATCGCTAAATGTTTCTAAACGTTGTTTTAATATATTTCCACACTTGCGCTTCTTCCTATACCTAGTCGCGTACAGATAGATTATTTAAGTTACTCCCACGGCTTGCTTCGTAAGGAAGAAATACTAATTCCCTACTTTTCTGAAACCGAGGAACTTAAAAAAAAATGTGCTTCTCCAGAAGCTAAAAAGAAATATCTTCTCCTTAACACGTTCCCTGTTGATATATTATCACACGATCTTTCATTATATCATCAATCGATAAGTAGTTCTCTTGTTTAGAGTAGCTA